CTCCTAAAAACACTCAAGCCCTGATTTTTCTGGACGTTTAATCAGGGATTTAACCAGGTAGGACTTACTGGGTTACAAGTAACAAAAACCCAGTTAAGCCACCTCAGGGAAACTGAAATGTCTCATGAAATCGAAGAAAACGTTGAGCAGCAAATAGCTGGGCAGAGCAGACTCAGGATCTGGGCTCATTGGAGAACCCTGAAAAGTCCTTCCCCTTTCCCTCCATCTCTCTCTCTCTTTCTCCCTCCCTCAGCCCCCTTTATCCCCTCCATGCGGGTCATCCCCAGGACATACACCTGCACTCAGTCCTTCCAGCCCACAGACTCCACTGCCATTCCTAGGGCATGCCAAGCACACTCCCACCTCAGGGCCTTTGCACCTGCTATGCCCTCTGCGTAGGACCCTCTTCCTTGGATCTCTGCCATGGTTAACTACCTCCCTTCTTCAAATCTTGGCTCAGATGTCACCTCAGTGGCTCCTTCCTTAACCAACAGATTGAAAATTGCCACCCACCCCCACCACAGCATGCTTTAGATCCCTCCCTACTTGCCTGCTTTTTTCCTTTAACCATCGTTCACACATGCGCGCACACACACACACACACACAAATGAATTAATCATAATCCTTACATCATAACCCGCTCTCATCAGCTTTTAATGATCCACTTAACAATGTAACAAACACCCAGGAAACCACTACCCTAAACAAAAACTAAAATCTTGATAATAACCTACATCTGACCATACGTTCCCTCCATCCCAGCATCCCATCCTCCCCACCATAGTCCTCACCTGTATTTATTCTTCTCTTGTTTCCTTTTTATAATTTATTACTGCATTATGTGTGTACAATGGGTTGCTCTTAGCTTTATAAAAAGGAAACCACGTGTCTGTAATGGGACATTTTCCACGGGCTATTCTGTGTCAGATCCATCCGTACTGTGATGTGTGGCCATAGTCCCTTCATTTTGACGGCCATGTAATACTTCATTGTGAGAATTTATTCATCTGCTCTCCCATACTTGGGCATGTGGAGGTTTCTCCATTGCTGGCCACTGTGAAGAGAGGCCTTATGAATATTCTGCCACGTGACTCGTGTTGCAGACGGGCAGGAATTTCTCCAGGGTGTATACCGTGGAGGAGAATGCTGGGTCACGATCATGGTATGCACATGCTCAGCTTTAAAAGATAAAACCAGGCTGCTTCCCGGCATGGTTGCATCCCCACTGGCAACGTGAAGAGGGCTTTATTTCAACCTGGGCGCTTACACTTTATGATCTACCATGTATTTTCCTTGTGTTTTCGTTTACTATCTATCTCCACCCCCAGCCCCATGTCAGCAGGGTAGGGATTTTTGTCTCTTTGTTCACCATTCTATCCCCCATGCCTAGAACAGCGTCTGGCACATAGTAGGTGCTCAATAAACAGTTTCTGATTGAATGACCGAATGGATGGTCCCACACAAGACCTGAGGGCTTATATTAGGTATCATTGGATTATTATTATTCATTTCCTGCAGATACGCTGATTCATCTCTCAGTTTCAATCTCCCCAGTCCAGGGAAAGGACCATTGGCCCAAACTACTGAGGCCTGGACCCCCCAGGCCACCTAAAACATCAGAGTTTCTGAGGATGGAGCTTCCCTTTCCGTAACCCTCCATGGCCCTTCAGATAAAAATCCCCCAAGCATGCCGGGACTTACAAGGCCCCACACAGTGACCCTGCCACTTCATCTTACCCCCTGCTCACCCCTGTTGCTCTAAAAAACACACTGCAACCCAGCCACACTAAGCTCTTTCACACCCCTGGGCCTTTGCACCTTCGCATCCCCTCCACTCCCCCTCCCGCCCCCCTTAACCACGTTAAGACTGAATCCTTCAGGGAGTAGCTGAAATGCCACGTCCTCTGAGAAGCCCTCCCTGGCTCCTGAGACCCAGGAGGACCCCTGTTAGAGAGCCTCATGATACAAGGCTCTTGTAAACTCTTAGGACCACACTTGGCGTGATACTTTGATTCGTATCTCACCCTCACTCTAGACTCTAAGGCACAGGAGAGCAGGGGCCAATTCTGCTTTGGCCATCCCTGTGCCTCAGCACAGAGCCCAGTGACCGGCACAGAGGAGGGGCTAATATTTTTGGATAGATGGAGGGAGGGATAGGTGGATAGGAGGACAGAAAAAAGGAAGAAAGCGAGGGAGGGAAGGAGGGAATGAGGGGAGAATACTTACATGGATGGCTGTATAAATGACGGAGGGATAGAGGTGTGGGTGGATAAATGGACTGATGGATGAGTGGATGAATAGATGATGGACAGAACAAAAATTGAGTTGATCTCTTTCTTCCATCTTCCCATGCTGCCATAATGGTGCCCATGGACGGGCCTGGCTGATGCTCTCAAGAGCACCAACGATGCTAAGCAAAAAGGCAAACTTCAAGTTCCTTTCCGTGATGTTCCAGAGTCATCGCCTGTTTCCTAATTGTGATGGTGAAGCGTGGTTATGTAGGAGAATTTGAAATCCTTGTTATCACAGAACGAGGACATCGCTGTGAACCTCACATGCAGGTTAACTAAATGCGATCAGCCTGAAATGTGATGTGTAACTCAAAGATTCAGAAAAGGGGCAGCATCGTCTCCTCCAGCTCATCGGTTTGATTTCCTTGTGCTGACAATCTCAGCTAGTATCGTAGCCACGAGGAAGCAAGATGAAAACACGCAGAAGAGAAAATCCAGGGATTCTTTTTCTAGGGATGTAATGCATACAGAGTTTTTTTGTTGTTGTTGTTGTTTTTACAAAGAGTTTGTGATTGATTGATTTTGTTCTGTTGTCTTCTCCACTGGTGTCTGAGCCATCTCCCCAGTGGATGGTGGGCTCCTTAAAGGCCAAATTCATTTCCCCTCCTTGAAATCCCTTTCTCCCATGGTTCCCTGGGATCCAGGCTTTTGCACTTTCAGATTTTCCACAGCCCAGTGGAGAGGGGCCACTGCACCAGATCCTCAGCTGGACGCCATTCATTAGTCGCTCAACAAACATGGGCAGCATGCTGCTGTGGGAGTTGCAAAAGGGTTTGGGATTCAAATCCCAAGTCTGCTACTTACTCCCTGTGGGAACATGGGCAAATCACTTACCCTCTTTGAGCCTTGGAAGGTTCTTTTTCCCCATCTGTAAAATGAGGACAATATTCCCCACCTTGTGTGGCAATTATGAAGAGTAGTGTTATATAAGTGCCCGGCACATAATAGATACTCAAGAAATGATAACCACACCACACAAGACGAATAAGACACAGTCCTTCATCTCATGGATGCTTCACTCTAGCAGGGACAGCACTGAGGTGGCCAATTGTGATGCAGGCTGTCACATCAAGGTATGGGTAAAGGAACAGAGAGGAAGATGGGAATGAGTTCATGGAAGGCTTCCTGGAAGAAGTGGCATTCAGTCAGACCTTAAATAGCATTATGCAGTCCAGAGTCATGGGTTCTTCTTTCTAAATGCTAAATTTCCGTGTGACCTTGAATCAGTCACTTCCCCACTCTGGGGTCCCCAGATCCCCTTCTGTAACATAAGGTTCATAAGCATTAGCTCTGAATCTTTTGAGTCATAGGCTCTTTTGAGAACAATCTCTGAAAGCCACAGCCCTTCTTCTCAGATAAACGCACACACATAAGTTTGTCTGTCACGGGGCAAGGGGCCCTCATGGACCCCGTAAAGCCACCCTAGGCTGAATCCCAGAGTTCAGCTGGATCGGTACCACTGCAGAGCTGGCCCCATCCTCACACAAAGCCTCTCTCTTTAGTCTGTGGCCAGCACGAGCCAGCAGAATCACTGACTCAATCTGAGAAAGCCCATCAGGCACTGGGCTGCAGGACAGAACAGGGGCCTGGGGAGGGGAGGTCATTCCAGCTGGCTGGGGAACCGGAGTCTGGTTCTGGGAAAGCGCCCCTGACCAGTCCTCCCCTGACCTCACCTAGTTTATCAGCATCTGCCTTGGGGAGGAAGAGGAGCGTGGGCCGCTCTGGGCAGGCTCCCAAACAGGCCGCTGACCCCCATCTGTCGCCCAGGCTGGAGTTCCCGGACGCATCCTTCATCTTTCCTAATCTAAACACCCGCAGGCCTCGGGTGGTCCATCCCCCTCCCAGCTAATGTGTGTGCTCAGCTGCATCCAGCCTGCCAGAGGAAGGAGAGCTGGCCATCCCTTTAACACTGGAGCTGCTGCCATCACCTGCCTCCCTTTCCATCCAGCCAACCCTCACCCAGCATTTATTAAGCACCTACTGTTTGCAGGCATCTGTGAATGAGATGGTGGAGGGTCTCACCTTACCTTCCTCCAAAGTCTCTGTCTCCTGGGCTAGGTCCCCTAAACTCCCCTCCAGGGCAAGATACTGTTGCTATCCCGCTCACCTGGAGCAGGTGGGTGCTTTGGGGAAGTAGGCTCTGAGCTGGCTAATTCGGGGCTGGGAGGAGAATCAGCTCTGGGTTGGTTTCTGGACATCTGCTGTGTGATCCTGGCAGTTTCCTACCCTCTCTGGGCCTCAGTCTTCCCATGTTTCATGATTCCATTTGGCTCTGAAATGGGCCTTGCTAGCGCCTCCTCCCTCCCCTCTCCCAGAATAGTGGAAGGAGAAGAGAAAGCTACTCTGGAGTGCTCTAAGATCTTCCTTTGGGCAGTCTCTGGATCATAGTCATTCATTCAAGCATTTATTGAGCACCTATTGGGTTCCAGGTCCTGGGACTGGGCAGCTGGAATGTGAAGACGACTAGGATTTAAGCAGGAGACCCATAGACACCTCACTCCAAGCCTGGCTTCCTGCATGGGGTGAGGAGACCTCCCGGGGTCCCAGATGGGCCTAGCCTAGGATTTGGGGCGCCCCGGGGACTCGCGTGTCAGCCGGCGGCGCTTCGGGCCCCGGTCTGTCTCCTCCCCTTCCTCCTTCTCCGCCCCCTCCACCGCCCCTCCCCGGAGCGCCGCCGCGGCCGCCTCCCACCCGCGGGATCCCGGCATCCAGAGCCGGCGCGTGCGTCCGTCGGTCTGCGGGGCAGTCTGTCCGCGCGCGGAAAGCCCAGCGCCCCGGCGTGCGGCGGCCGCGGGGCCTGGGAGGGAAAGGGCGCGGAGGCGGGACCGCGGCTCCCTCCCACTCCGGGGGGAGCCCAGGAGGCGGCGGTGCGAAGCGCCAGCGGAGAACCAGGCAGCACAGCGGAGAAGGCGGTGAGAGCGCGGGGTGCTTAGGGACCCCACCCCCGGCTCCTGCAGGGGACCGGCGCGCGCTGGGGGGAGGTCTGGGCTGGGGAAGGGGGGGAGCTGGTACCCCAGGGCGGGAGGCAGCGACGATCCAGCTCCCGGCTTCGCCTCCTCGGTGACGCGACCCCCGAGGGGCCCTGGGCCGCGCCTGCAGCGCCGCTCATCCTCGCACATCCCCGCGCATCCCCGCGCATCCCCGCGCGCCCTGCATCCCGGCCCGGGCGCGGGCCCCGGGGGAGGGGAGCGCTCGGGGAGCTGAGGAGGGGGCTCCGCAGGCGAGGAGCCTCGGAAAATCGCGCCCCCGGCCCCAGCCCTCCCTTCAGGCCTGCCCCAGGGGAAAGCGGGCGGCGACCCCCTTAAGCCCCCCTTGCTGGCCCCCCCATCGGTTCCCCATTGTTCTCAGCCGATCGCTCTCCCGGGAAGGGGGAGGGGGTGCTGCGCTCTCCTCTTAAAGGGCCCTCTCCCCTTCTTGTCTCCCGGCAGGTCGCGAGCACGAGTGGGGTGGGGCGTGCCCACGGGCCCCCGCCCCCCTCGTCCCCCCCGCCCAGCTCCAGAGCCGCAGCCGGGCCCGCGGGCCAGGGGTACGCGGCGCACCCTCCCCGGTGCGTTCTTCGGCCACCCAGGCCTACCAGGACGCCGTGTGGAGCAGGAACCAGGGGGACTGGGACGCCCCCTTCAGCAGGAGCCGTCGGAGGGGCGGACCCGAGACCAGGCGAGCAGCCCCACTGGAGCCAGGCGCAGGGTCTGGGACGCAGTCGGGAGCGCAGAGGGCCGGCTGGGCGCCGCAGAGCCAGCAGCAGGCTGGCCCGGCCCTCCTGGGTGACAGGCCCTGCGTGGCCGGCTGGGAAGAAGTGACTGGAGACCAGCAGGGAAGAGACTGGACCTAGAGTAGGGGCGGCTGCCTCACTCCCTTTCTGAGCCCAGGGAGCCAAGGAATTTAGAGCAGCGTTTCCCCATCACAAAAAAGACACTTGCTTTTCAGAGCAGCGCCTTTATCTGAGACAGCGCTGGGGGAAGGGGTCCTTGGAGCCTGGAGCTGCACCCCGCACTCTTTTCACTGAGGCCTTGGGGCTCAGAGAGGACTCCGAGTTAGAAAGGAGGCCAGTTGGCTCTTGCTGCCCCCCTCCCTGGGGAGAGAGGAAGTTCCCTGCCTGCCTCCAGGCCCAGGAGGAGCTGGGCCGCTAAGAGTGGGGTCCTGGCCCCTGAGGCTGCAGCAGCGGCCATGTCAAGGCCAGGCCAGGGGGTGATGATGCCCGGGAGCGGGCTGGGCTTCCCACCGCAGAATGTGGCCCGGGTGGTGGTGTGGGAGTGGCTAAATGAGCACAGCCGATGGAGGCCTTACACGGCCACCGTGTGCCACCACATCGAGAATGTGCTCAAGGAGGACGCCCGCGGTTCCGTGGTCCTGGGGCAGGTGGACGCCCAGCTGGTGCCCTACATCATCGACCTGCAGTCCATGCACCAGTTTCGCCAGGACACAGGTGAGCAGACTCGCCCCCACTCCACTCCCCCCCCCCCACCTGTCCGGCCAGGCTGAGGCTGAGACCACACCACCATCACCAGCCTTCATGGTGGAATTCTGGAATCCCCGCAGCATCCCTGAGGAGGGGAGACAGGAACTGCAGGAAGGCTGGTCTGCTGATCCAAAAAAGGGACAGCCTAGCCTAGTCCAGCTGAAGACTTGGGTTCCAGTCCGGCCTCTTGTATTAGTTGTAGGGCCTTGGGCGAGTCATATCACCTCTCTTAGCCTCAGCTTCCTCATCTGTAAAATCTGTGGATCAATGTCTCCCACAGCTGTGTGAGGATTAAATAAAATTGTGCTCACTGAGCACAGGATCTAGAAAAGCATTAGCACCCAGGAAGAGGGCTTTCCATGCACTTCCTCATTTGATTCTTTTCCAACAGTCACAGGCACTAAGTCTTATTATCATATAATTATTATGAGTATTATTAGTCCCATTTTACAGATAAAGAAACTGAGTCTCACAGAAACTGAGTGATTTAAACTCAGAGCTGGGATTTAAGCCCAGGCAATTGAATTCCATTGCCAGTGCTCTTGACCAGTTTCCTGCACTGGCTCCAGGTGTTGGTGCTGAGATGGTGTGATGGGGGGAGGGGGTGGGGGGAGGGGTGGGGGTGGGGTGGCAATGGTAGTGTTAACTGTGGAATTGGTGGTGTTGGCATTGATGGTTGCATTGGTGGTTGTCTTGGGAGAGGAGATTGTGATGGGGCAGTAATGATGGAGAGAATGAGGTTGGTGGCTGTGTGATAGGTGAGGATGGTGATAAAGATGGTGAGGTCCATGCTCAGCATTCATGTTCTGGAAACGTGCCATCGCTGTGGAGATCTCTCTGAGTCATTGTTGCTTGGTGGTCTCTGACAAGCTTGGTGGGCAGTGGGGGATGGTGAGTGCCTGCCTCAAGGAAGCTGCCAAAGTATCCTTGGCATGTTCGACCCCAAGGACCAGTGATGGAGGTTTGTGAATCCTTGATTGACAGAATGCACGTAACAGCCTTGGAGATAGTAGGACGCGTCCCTGCTCTCCAGAGACGTTCAATACGGGAGCTACCAACTACATGTGGCTATTTAAATTCATGTCGAATAAAATTAAATAAACTTTAAAATTCAGCCCCTCAGTCCCACTAGCCCCATTTCAAGTGCTCAACAGCCACATGTGTCTCATGGCTACCATATTGGACAGCATAGATCCAGAACATTACCATTATCACAGAAAGTTCTAGTGGATAGCTATGCTCTAGAACATTGCTTGGTGCCTACAGAGTGGTCACCAAGTGTGGAAACACAGATGAATTCATAATACATGGTTTTAGTCCATCTGTTTCCATAACTCCAGGCATTGACTGCAGTCACTGGTGGTGCCAGGCATCCATTCATACTATCATATAATCATTTATTGATCTCGCTGTGTGTCAGACCCTGTGCTAAGCACTAGAAAAAAAATGCATGGAGCAAGACAGACAGAGTCCTGAGTAGAGGTTCACTGGAGGACCTACACTGGAGGTCCCAGAGAGCAAGCAAACATGTAATTCACAGATAATCAGTTGCAGGTCTGAGAACATGAAATAAATCTAGGGTAGGGGTGGTGATGGAAATCTGAAGAATGAGTGAAGGGAGCAGTGTCCCAGGCAGCAAGAACAGCCAGTGCAAAGGCCCTGTGGTAGGAAGGAGCAGAGTACATTCAAGTCCACTGTGTGTAGAGTGTGGTGAATGAGAAGGTGGTGCAAGACGAGGTTGGAGCAGGGCCTGGACAGCCATGAAAATGGCTTTGAATTTTCTCCAGACAGTAGAGAAAATCACCATTGAACCCTCCTGCCCATTCTTCCAGAGAGGCACTGAGTCCCTAATAGAGAAGTGAGAAATGCTAGGCATCCCCTGCCCTAATCATCTGGTTTATCCCCAAACCCTTCTCTGATGCAGGGCAGAGGTTGGACATCAGGAGGAGGAGGGTTTTCTCTTTGGCTTGGTGTTCGGCTTTCTGTAGGTTCAGAGCTCTCACTGGGTGTGGAAATTTTCCAGGGTCTGGCTTGGAGGGTGGCCCTTAGAGGTAGGGATAGCCCCCCACCCACCCCAAGGCTGCCAAGTTAACCACTCGGTCTTTGATCCCTCTTTTGGGTCCCTTTTCTATCCCCAGCACCCCCACTTGGGCTCCTAGCTCCCCAAACTGCCTCCACTCCCCGCTTCGGCAGTCCCCTTACTCTCAATGACACCCCTTTTATGGTTTAGCCTCGCTGAATCCCCCAGAAGTTCAGCTTCAGTTACTTCCCTGCACTTCCTCCCCAGAGCTGTTCACCCACACCTGCCCCCTGTTTGCCGGAAAAGGGGAAAAAAAAATCACTTATCCCTCAACAGGCTCCTGGGAGGCTGCCAAGACCCCCCAGTGAGGGAGGAAGGCCTGGAAACCTATGGGGTGGAGGGTGGGGCAACTTGGTTGTGGAAAACTGTTGGAGGGAGGGACTAGATGCCTCCTCACCAGACATGTTATCATGTGCCCCCTGCTTCTCCCAGAAGTAAGACAATGTCAAGAAAGGACATATTGTTCTCATGGGTAATGGTCAAGGAGAGAGCCTCAAGCAGGTGACCTTAGCTCTCCATGCCTCAGTTTCCACATTTATGAAATAGGCAAGAGTATAGCCTTGCTAGCAGGGTTGTTGGGTAATGGAGAAAACCAGGCCTGTTATTTTATCCCACAAACATTGACTGATCACCCACCATGTGCCTAGCATGTACTGAACACTATGGATGCACAAGAAATGGGTAGGAAATGCTCAATCTTGAAAAGACTATGATTCTCTCTCTTTCTCTCTCTCTCTCTCTCTCTGTCACACACACACACAAAACAATATAAAGTTAGAAAACCCAAAGCTCTCATATGTGTACTGAAATGAACACAGCGTCTATCTAGATTTTCTAATTTTAGGGACACCTGGGTGGCTTAGTCGTTAAGTGTCTGCCTTCAGCTCAGGTCATGATCCCAGGGTCCTGGGATCGAGTCCCGCATCGGGCTCCTTGCTTAGCCGGGAAGCCTGCTTCTCCCTCTGCCTGCTGCTCTCCCTGCTTGTATGCACTCGCTCTCTCTCTCTTGCTCACTCTCTCTCTCAAATAAAAAAAAAATCTAGATTTTCTAATTATAAAATTCTTGATAAGTTCACTGAAGCTGAACCTGAACTTGGTTTGGGGGGAAGTAGCAGTGAGCCCTAGCTTTGCTGGTGCCGTAACTCTGGAGCTGACAGACTTTCTGATAAGGTCAGATAGTAAATAAGAGAGTAAATATCTTAGCCTTTGTGGGCCATACTGTCTCTGTTGTAAGTGCTCACCTCTGCCATTGTATAAAAGCAGCCGTACAGGGGAAGCAAATGAACAAATGTGGCTGTGTTCTAATAAAACTAATTGTAGACACTAAAATGTGAATTTGTAGAATTTTCACAAGTCATGAAATAGCCTTTGTTTTCCAACTATTTAAAAATGTAAAAGCCACTCTTAGATCATGAGCTGTGCAAAAGCAGGCCATGGGCAGATCTGGCCCACAGGCTACAGTTCACCGACCCCTGCCCTCCCATGTTCTTAACCTGCCCCTGGGGTAAGGGAGCCGAGGCCGACCGGGCACAGCATATCCTGAACTATATACACGTGTGCGTCCACACACGCAACACCAACCCGCTTGCATGCCACTGACACACAAATGCCCTATCTATGTGTCTGTTGTGCAACTAGCGGAAGGAAACTCAGGTGTCAGGCTCAGACCACAGGAGGGAGGCCAGGCCTGGTCCCATGGGGGCTTCTGTTTGTTCAGCCGGTGCCCGCTCACCTCTTCCCTGCTGGGCTGTTTTCATCACGCCCCACGGGAGGTGAGGTTCCCTTTGAAGCTCTTCAGGTCCAGAGCCCACGTGCAGGGGAAATGATGTGACCCTGGGCCACGTGATGTTAGATCCCTCACAATGGTGTCCCAGGCACAGGGCTGGAAAGGAGAGCCGGGGATAGGCGAGGGATAAGGCAGGTGCCCCTTCACAGGCATGTGCTCTGCGATATCATGATCTTCTTCTTGCTGGTTCCCCAAAGCTTTCCTCATCTTCTTTGGTCTTGAGCTGCCCCTACCATGGGCAAATCAAGATTTCAAAAATGGGAAACCCAGGTCGATAGGTTTGCCCAGGTGGGTGCAGCAACTGGTGGCAGAGGTGGACCCAAGGGTCATGGCGGTCTTGGGGGGAGGGGCTGGTTCCCACTAGCAGTGGGGAAGTAATGTGGGAACCGCTTTCTGCCTCCCTTGCAAGGCCACAACTTCCCTGAAGTTAATTGTCCCCCACCCTGCCATTGGGGTGGCGGCTTCGGAGGGCCTCATCCAGACCCCGGATTTTCCACCTGGTCCCCACAGCTGGACAGCGATGTGACTTAGCCACTTTCCAGGCAACTCCCAGATTCCTCCCTGGACTCACATGGCTGGGACAGGATGGGCAACCTTTCTGACTGATTGGTGTCTCCCATTCTCCTCTCCCTCTGCAGCTAGGGGCACTTGTGGCAGCCTTCTGCCCATTCTGTAGATGGGACAGCTGAGGCTGGGAGAGGCCAGGCTGGAGACCATCCACAGCTGCTGTCCCCAAGGCTCGAAGCATGGCTGCACCAGCACTCCCAAACCATGGGGCTGGAGAGACAGGGGGTGGCTGTTTTCAGTTGCCCGAGCCTACATCATTCATTCTCCAGGGAGCTTGGGCTCCGCTCAGCCCTGGTCACTGCCCTTATGGGAATGTCCTGTCTGGGGACCTGCTTAGGCTGTTGGAAACCAGAAGACCACGGCCCCCAGAGAGAGGCCATCACCGGGAAAGCACTGCCAGAATTTAGACTCCTAGGCAGGCCATTGTTATAGATGGAGAGACTGAGGCCCAGAGAGAGTGAGTGACTTGCCCAAGGTCACACAGCCATTCAGCCCCAAGCTGGAATCCAGGCCTCTCAGACAGGTCTCGGGGAT